CTGGGACACCAGTTACATGATGAAAGTTGCGTACAATGATCAGTCCTCCGCCAACTCCAGCACCCGCAGCACAATGTTCACCTCGCCTTTGGCAAGGGCGATGACGGTGCTCAACAAAAACTCGTTCTCTGTCCCTTCCAGGGCGTCTGGCTGCCACTCTCCGTACTCCGCAAGTCTGTATGTACTGTCCTTATGTACGCCGGGCAGTTGTTACGTTATACTTACGTATTTTTACGCATTTTTATGCGTAAACACGTAAAGACTATATTTACGCATAAAAACGTAAACACCATCAGCTTTTACGGCATAGAAACCAAGCCTGCGCAACACAGCGTCCACTTACCAACCAGCAAGGGTCACAATGGAGTGGAGCAAAATTCCTGCTTTGCCCATTCCAGTGCGTCTGGATGCCATTCACCGGTGTCCCGAAGGCTGCATGTACTGTCCTACTACATGTACTGGCTACTTTTACTTCATGTTTACTTATTTTTACCCCTTTTTACGCATAAAAACGTAAAAAATATTTTTACGTATGAAAACGTAAATACGATCTGTGTTTACAGCATAAATAACAAGCGTGTTTACGATGACACTGCGAATCGGTTACTTAGCCGATCAAGTAAAACATTTGGAAGCATAGAATATATTCAAATTAGAATATTGTGAACTTTGTATGAAAATCTAACATGGTAAGGTGGGGTTTCCAGGCCCAAGGTTCATAGCTGCCATTTATTTTGGGGGCGGAGGAAGTATTCACATTTTCATGCAGCAAAACGCGTAAAAATACGTAAATTTTGTCGCAATGGACATAAAGACAGTACATGCAGGCTCAGGGAGTTAGGGAGGGTAGCTAGACCCGCTGGAGTGGGCATTAAATAGACGTTTGTTCAACCACGCCTTGGCCCTTGCCTAGGAAGAGCTGGATGCTGTGTTGCGGGTGTTCGAGGAGCGGTGGAGCGATCATTGTTGCGACTTATCATGTTACCTGGGCGTCCCGACCAGCCACAACTGTATGTAAGTATAGCCATAAAAATAGCCCCTTTTGCAAATCTGCGTTTTTATGCATAAAACACAAACGCGAAAATATAAGCGCAAAACATAAACGTAAACATAAAGGCAGGCCTTATTTTTTCGTTTTCCCAGCCCAGCGGATAAATTATTTATATCCATACTTGCATTCACAACGCAAGCGCCCAATATGGCGTAAATCACTCCCCACATGCACTTGCATGTAAAATTGCAAATGTTTGCCACTCGCGCCTCATCGCAACATGGCCTCCAAGGCGCAAGGGCAGTGTTTTGTCATGTTTCTGCCATACCGGACTCCTCCCTCCCCCCCCCCTCCCCGTGTTCCCCACATGACAATACATTACATTCACACAGTTTGGTGTCCATCACCTTACTAATACAAGACCCGATCGGCGACCCACTTGAAAGTGCCCCTCGCTTCGCATAGTTCTCAATGCCACCCTGATGGTGACTCAACCCTTAGTCAGCCCCCCCCTTTCTCGTACTCAACTCCCTCTCCTTCCCGCAGTGAACCGTAACTCACTCTATTAGGGTGGGCCCGGTGGGTGCAAAACAAGATAAGGGGGGCGCCAAGGGTCGCGCCTAAAATAGCTGCTCCCACTTGCCGCCAAACCCAAGGGCCAGCTTGACCGGTCCCCTTGTCTACGCCCAAGGTACAAGATTCACCTCAACCGCCCATGGACCCGTCGTGCAGAACTGACCCCAAGTGTAGAGTTTGACAGAAACCGGCCCTGTGATGGCCCTGCAACTGTCCTCAACGGGGCGTACGTGGAGCACAGCGCGCCAGGCGATGGTGGTATGGTGAGTCCCACGTGCACAGTACTTGAGCGCAGGGTCACCTTCATGATTCTGTGGATACGCCCCCCCTGGCCGCCCGCCGGGCTATTCGCCAGCACCGCGGCTGCTTGGCCGTTGGCAAGTTCCTACTTATTGGCACCAAAATGCAAGCATGCCCTGTGGACATACAGCCAGTACATAGAGGCACAGGGAGTCTGGGGAGTGGCAGTCAGACGCGCTGGAGCGGCCAGAGGGCGTCTGTTGGTTCGATGACGTCGTCGCCCTTGCTCAGGGTGACGTGCGTGCTGTGTTGCCGGTGCTGGTGCTGGCAGACTGGTCATTGTTTGCGACCCCATCAACCTGGATATGTTGACGCGCTCCACAAATGGGCTTTTCTCTGTTTGCGCGTCTCCGCACACAAAAGCTTGGATGCAAGCATGCTGCCGTAAAAGTAATGACCAACGTGAGCAGTAATAACATATAGCAAGATATCGGCCATTGCGATCTGTTCTGCGTCGCAGGTGAAGCCAATGATCGTTGGTGACCTGCCAGTGCCATCACGAGCGCGACCCATAGCTGCAATGTTGCATGTATGATACGTCAACACATCAACAGTTCTTTCATGTCTGGTACGTCCATCTCGCGTTCGACACAGTCGCTTTTGCAAATACAAGCACATGGATTTCTGCCCCTGTTATCTGTGGAAGTTACGTTGGCCCCTTCCTCAACAAGTCGCCTGGCAACGTCAAGGTTAACCCCCGCAGCGGCTACGTGCAACGGCGTCTTCCCATTCGAATCCACGGCGCTGACGTTTGCACCGCGCCTCAGCAACACATCCACAACGTCGGTGGCCTGATACGTTGCTCCCTGGTGAAGGGGCGTCATGCCCGCAGCGTCGGGCTCATTGACATCGGCATTTGCATCAGCAAGGGCCTCCACGGCTGCAGATCTACCGTTGGAAGCGGCGACGTACAAAGGAGTGTGCCGCCCCAAAGGTGTCTTGGCGTCGACGTCAGCACCTGGTCCGTCCGAACAATCTTTTCAGAGTATGGTCGGCCACAGCACTGTTGCCGTTGCATTGACTAAACTTGATTGAAACAGTACAGCTTCGTCCAAAAGTCGATTTCTTCATCCCCAAGGCGCTGCCAGCCCGATTTTATTTATCCTTGTCCACACTACCTTGCATGAAGTGCTTTCGTTCGTTCATGTGACATCATCCACGTTTCATGTACGAAGGAACGAAGGGTGTTCGGGTGACACACTTGTGGGAACGACCCACCGTAGCTGACCAGGAGTTGTGGGTTGTGGGTCGCGATCGCCATGGAATGTAAGAGTTGAAGCTGCGGCCAAGAAGTTTCTCTTTGACGTATTTGTTTTGCCCATTACATGAATTCTAACAATTACGTATCCACATACTCAGCATCACATCATTTCTATTCACATAACGTGATTAGAATACCAATTGCAGATTAGCTCTAAAAAGTAGAAGCTACCAAAGCTTGGTCGTCTGATAGTCTGATAGGCAAACTATCAGCCGATCAACACTCCCAGAATTCAGATCCCTTGCCTCGCCACAGGAGTGATCGTTGTTGTGTGCGCGAATGCCATCTAAATAAGCACTTGGTGCGAGCCATGCAAAGAGCAATATTGCGCGGCACACCAAACAGGCTGCCTGCCGACGACAGTAGCAATGTCTTGAGCCACAAACAATGCAAACTAAGAAATGCAAATGCAAAAATGCAAAAATGCAAAAATGCAAAAAAAATGCAAATGAAAAATGCAAATTTTAAATGCTGGCATGCAGGCAGAGCAACCTTTCAGATGCACATGTCATACATGCAAACTGTTCTGACATTGAAAGGAGGTGATTATTTGTGATCACAAATGACAAGGAGAATCTCATTGAGACTTGCCCTTGCATTGCATCTGCGCACCTCTTTTTATGAGCACATCAATGGCTTGCACGACGCCCCATCGAGCGGCGATGTGCAGCGGCGTGTGCCCTTGGCTTGTGGTGGCATTCACGTCAGAGTCTCCCTCGATGAGGCATTCCACAATCTGGGGCTCAGTGTTCAAGTTCTCGCTGGCGTAATGCAGCAGAGTCCAATCCGATGGAAACATCTTCAACGTGCAGCACTCCTTGCCGTCCTTCAGGCTTGCGTACACCACTTCGGCGCTGCTGTTCGGCGCTTTCAACAGATCCTTCACTTCCTGGAAAACGCGTGAAATACAGATCCATTTTTGGCCATCTTGTCATTTGTGGACAACAAAACACTGTGCAGGCGCCAAGCGGGCAACATCGATATGGGGTCATCTTGAAACTATTCTTTGCCGCCTTGACTGGTGGGGTATAGCACACACCCGACCTTAGAACATACTGGAAATCCAAGACCAGATGAGCATCTGCTTAACTGCGCATCATCGAGCCTTGTTCACGCAAACAGCCAGCCAGGAGCATCAAGAAGTGGGGCATGGTTCACAGCATCCGGCACAGCTCAGGATACACCACAGGCATCGTGTGTGGTGTATTATATGTGCTGTATTATATATGTGGTGTATTATATATTATGTATTATATCACCATTTTGCGTGGATAACAACTGCTCTGGGTCTGCCTCTTGTCAGGCAAGGAACCTATGCACTCACCTCACAGTCTTTCTCCACAGGGGCGTCTCCGCAGGTACCAGGGGACAAGGGACATTTTGATTCTGGCCCAGGGTCCTACTTATCACAAACTGACTGTGAGTGCGTGGCCACTGTTTACTGCCCATGTTGTGCAAAAGCAGTGCGGCAACGTCATGGCTAAACCATTGGCAAACCTCGCCAACGGCTCCACCTATTTTGCAGCACACTTTCATCGAGGAAAAGTCAAGAATTATGACAATTCACAGACCCACCAAAACTTATCGGTGCTACCAGCGGTGGACATTGTGCCTGTTCGCCCCACACTTAGATGGGAGCAAAGACCTGTGCGATTGCTAGGCCAGTTTGCTGACAATGCTGCAGAACCTGGACAAGTGTGCAAGGTGCAATAGCTTGTCGTCAACATCATTCCAAGCCCAGTTTTGTGCACATCATTAACTGTACAATTCAAACTCACATTCACATGTGTGGGTATGTTCATTTTGTCATCGGGCAAGTGCAACACAATGTGCATGGATCTTGAAAGGGGGCACCCCAAATGGATTGCCCCATCACCATTGGCCAGAGATGATGGCAAGCAAGTGTGCTTGTGCAATGCTGCAAGAACTGCACTTGAGACATACATCTCCCAACATGGCGTCGATCCACTCACGAAAGCTGGCCACTCTGGTGTACACTCCAGACATGTGTATCTCACAGTTGGAGCCATTGCCAAATGACACAATACCAGCCAGAAGATCTTTACTGGCCATCCCAGCACGCAAATCTCCTCCAGGAGCATCAGCCAACAGCAGGGGACCCCCACTGTCGCCTGTGGAGCAAAAGCAAATTTGTCAACATCGGTTGAGCAAGCAAGAGCCAATGTGGATTTGAGCAAGAGAGAAGCCTATTCATGAATAAAGTTAAGATTCAAAAGCTGTGTCAGACAGTCAGCTGCGACACTGTCATGTATTGATATTCTTAAGCTCAACAACCTTTTGGGAGCTGAGTTTCAATCTGGGGCTTGCAGTCCAGGTCAAAATGGTGTCCATCTGCTCACCAAACCAGAAGCACAACGAGAATACAAAAAGTCCCCACCACCGAGTCCTGAGAAACTGTGGTACAGCGCTTCAAAACATGTTTGCCAAATGCAGCCAGCGAAACTCCAACCAAACTGCATGGAACAGGTGGAGCAGCAGCACTTGGCGTTCTGCATCTACATCCTCCATCTACATCTACATCCACCTACATCAGCTTGCTGTCATGAATAATGTAGTGGCTGATACGCAAAGTAACTACAGCAATGTTTCTGCAGCATCCACAACACAATGCATTATCTCACCCTTGCAGACGCTCTGGTCGCCCACAGTGCACATCATGCTGTCCTGGATGACAACCTCAGGTGCCCAGATACTGCGGCACTGTTTTTGGGCCATCAACTCCATTCGGGCAGCATGTTGCAGGTGTCTGCTTTGTGGGCACTTCGTTTCCTGGTCTCCCCAGCCTGCCACCGCCAAAAGTGTACTAGGAGGTATGATGAGGTCATTTAAAATCTTGACAGGGTCGATATTTGATCGTCCATCAAGCTTTATCAGGGCCAGGTCATTCCCGTCACCTACAGTGCCTGTCCAGTTGGGATGAATTTTGATGCCCATATCTGCCTGCAGTTGGTATTCCTGCAAAAGCATGCCACAAAAAACAGGGCTGATTTCTGATACCGGTGGACGTCTGGTGGTGGAGGTCACAATCTTGCTCAATATATACAAGTGAACATCCCTGCAAGAATGCTTTCCATTGCCTATGTAGCATGGTTGTCATGGAATTGACAACAAAGGCTGTACACCCCTTTCAACTCTTTCCACGCGTAGCATGTTGACAAGGCTTCTAAGCGTTCATCTATTGTTCAGCACAAAACAGATTCGCACACAATTCCATTGAGAAAACATGCTGCAACCTTGTTGACAACCACACTGAACAGTCAGTGGGATATGGCAGGCATCCGATGATCTCAGGGGCCAGCTTCGTTGACAATCAAGTAGGGCAGTCACTGTGCAATACGTCTCCTCAACATCAGGTTGCATCTTGTTTGATTTAAGCAACAACCATAACCACTGGTATGTTGTTTTGTTGCTGAATAGCTGCACATTTGGCATGAAGTTGACTTATGCCAACAGTGCAAAACCGTTGGTGCTCACAAATTGGTGCTCTTGCCCCTGTTTAACTCCACTGAAGAGATACCTCACCTCCACTGCACCAGTTCCGTAGTTACCAAGATCACATGCCCCAACGACAATTCTGCGAACTGCCACCTCATCCACACAATGCGCAGCTGTCAATATCCACTCAGGGTCAATCAATACTCCTCCACACTTGTGCACATCCATCCGATCCTGGATAGATGCCATGAATGGATACCTGCCACATGGTGCAGGATCTCCCTGCAGCATGTTCCCACAGTCCAGGCTTCAGCAGTTTAGCTGTCAGTTGCATTGTCACCAGAGCAGAAGTGTCAATGCGACATGTGGAGTGCGTGGCCACAGAAATTACTGAATGCTGTGAAACGGCATCACGCTGCCTGTTTGCATCCTTCGGCAACACAGCAATGTGGTCGCAAGTAGCACACAGCTCTTCAGGGACATTGGTGCTGGCTGCATGGTGCAGGAAAACAGCACATGGCATCCGATGCTATCCCAGGCTGCTTTCCTGGCATCAATTTCACACTGAACGTATTGACCAGGTCAACAAGTGACAGTAAATTTAGTATGTCATAGTGACAATATCATGTTGGTGCGTCATCTCTGTTTGAAAATGGAGACAATTTTGGGTGAACACATGTTGATGACATTGACAAATCATACTCAAAACACAAAAGTGTCACACGGCAAGATACTGCACACAGATATAGATGAGGCACACAGATAGGTGATGTACTTTTCTTGTCGGCGATGTTCACAATACTGTCCACAAAGCGGAAAAAGGCTGCACTCCCCTTGTTCAGATGGGCTGCCATCTCAACAATATGGCTGCAGCAGCACAAGAATACACATGGCTTACTTCTGCTATCAATTGTGTGGCACAGCTTTGCTCCAGCAGTCTTCTGCTCCCTGCTTGCCTCCCAATCTTGGAATAAAAGTCCACACCTGCCAGCAAGCACATCATCCATCAGCATGCCCAGACAGGCCCCAAAAGGTCTGTGGTCTCTCACACTAAGTACTTCAGCTTATTCCACTCACGAGGCGGCGCTTGAACGTGGTCTGAAGATTGAGATTCAGGTAGATTACATGTACCTTATCCACATGGTATTGGTATCCATATACAGGGGCCCAAACAGGGCAAGACGAAGCAATGGATACCAACACTGGGCCAGCGACCTGACACATAACACGTATGCTGAAGTGTTTGGAACTTCAGGGAAGGGTGGGCACAAAGGGTGCGTGTCCACGGCACAACAGAGAATGCATAATCGTCCACCAATCATGGGTAGCATGCTCTCATGGGAGCCATGCCAACTCCCTGGCGAAATTACTAAAGAGTGAAACGGCTCAAAAAGGGAGACTGCCTGCAGAATTAAGAACTTTTCATGCTGCACTGCCCGGGCAGTGGGCACAGTACCCCGACACTGGCCTCAGTACATGGTGGCAAGGGTGCCAAGTTAGCTGTTAGTTTTTTTGGTTTAAGCTTTTGTTTCAGGGTTTAGTTCTGTTTTAAGTGTTTCAGGGTCTGTTTTTAGTTTCCGATTTAGGTTTTAGGTTTTTAGGGTACATTTTTTTGATTTGGTTTTGGGCATCAGTTGTGCTATGTACTGGGGACATTGCCAGTGCACGCTGCCGGCGCGGTGCCCCATGCAATATCCTTTACCGGGACCTGTTTTCTTATGTCGAATCAGGGCCGCTCGCAGCCGTGGAGGTTGCTGGCCTCTCCCCTCGTCCATTTCCCAGCCACCGGGTCGCCCCAGAATTCTGAGCCGTGCAGCATGCAAAATGCCAATAGCACACCAGACCTGCCACCCAGCCCAAGAAATCTCCACCCACCACCACACCAGTCCTCGTGCTGCCTGGGTGGGCCCCTCCCCGGGCGTATTGCCCTGCGCCCCGCGGCGCACCAACCCAGGCGACCGCCCTACCCCAGGGGCCTCTCCACCACAGCGTCCCGCCGGCCCCCGGGCCGGTCCCAGGGGCTTCCGATTGTCACATGCGGGGCCAAACTCCCGCGCACACTGAACCCAAGCCCCCCCGACCCCCACCCCACACACACGCGCGACCGCGAGCCGAGCTGTGATGCGGGAGACGAGGGGCCGGGATAGCGGCGCTTTCCCACGCCCAGAATCGATCGGTGGCAATCAAGGAATTTTCTCGCTCCGTCAAGAACCAGGCCGGAAGTGCCGTCCCTGTTGAACGGGGTCTGCCTGGAAGCTCTCCCGGGGCAAGTTCGCCGCAGTAGGACAATGGGGCCCGGTTGCCGGGCGCGGGGTCCCTACCATTTTCGGCGACGTCCCCAATAGAGTTGTTCGGGGTTTGCAGCGGGGTGGTCTCCGCACGGGCCGATGCCACGGGCGAGATGATCGCCAACGCCGCCAAGGCCCACAAGAACGGCGCCATGGCGGTCGCAACCGTGACGGCAGTAGCGGCGACAGTGGAGTTGCCGCCTGGCCTTTGGGCCCTTGCTGTGCCTGCCACGAAGCTTGGTAGGCTCTGGCGGAAGCCGGGCGAGCGCATCAGCTGCACCAACTGGGGCGGCCGGATTGTATTACGCCATCGCTGCCCCATTGTCTGTTCTGCGCTGCTGGGTCCTAATCCCGTCCGGACCTCCCCACGGCCGAGCGAACCGCAAGGCTGTCTGGTGGAAGCTGCGTCTCACGTGCTACCCATTGTGCAACATCACCGTCAATCTGAACCTTGTCTTTGGCTTGGCGACGCACACCGAATCACTAATGCTCGGTACTTTATCTTTTGTGCAACCCAGAAAATCCAACTCAGTGTCGAAGGGGTGGGCGGGTGTGAGCAAAACAAAGTAGTTGGGCGGCTAGAGGAAAGCCAGCCAAGGCGGCCATCAGAATGCAAGCCTTGGGTCCCTTTGGAAACGCGTACCAAAGGACACCAGGTGCCTTGGCTCTCTTTAAATACAGCCCGCGGAACAGAGGGTTAAACCGCCAAGGTGTTAGGCAGCCAGCAACAAACATGGCCACCAGAAATGCCCAGAGTGCCTGGCGCATCCCTTGCGCCAATCCACATCTCCCAAGCTGCAAACCCACCAACCAATCCCTAAGCGCTTTGGAGGTAGTGATACTTCTTGGGAATACATCGTGGAATCAAAACCGTAAGGGACAATGACAAAAGGGAGTCTTTCGTGACAAAAGAGCTTTTACAAAATCAAAGCCCTGGACGTGTCCTGCATCTGCCAAACTTGTGTTTGTACACTTCGGCTTTTAGAAAGCCCATAGACAAACAGAGCATTCAGACCACAAGAATCATTAAAGCGCTCAAAGCTGCGGGCAGCATCTCCGATGGCCGCCTGCTCTCCCCCGCAGCTCCGATCACCGTGTGCTCTCTCCAGCAGCTCGGATCGCTGCTTGGTCTCCCCTGCAGCTCCGATCGCTGCGATTCCCTTTCGCACCCATATCGCCGCAGCGCCTCCTAGAGGAGTGGCCCCTAGTAGGACTGCGTTGCTGTCTGGCGCCAGACCGGCACCAGTACGGCGCCAGTTTGACGCCTGTCTGGCGCCGGTCTGGCAACGCGTCTAATGTACATTTACATCAGGATACAGGGGGCGGCCAGAGTAATCCCCTTCTGCCATTTGCACCCCCGCAAAGGACCCCCTTTCGTCAAAATATCCCACAAAGGACCCCCTTTTGTCGTTTGACCCATATCGCAAGTTTCCAGCAGTTTGCGGTGTATAAACTCTTGCATGTTTGGTGCTTGGGCCATTGCGCGTAATGTGTTGTCCACCAATTTATGCGCCTCGCAAAAGTTCCTCTCTTTATTCTTTGTTGAAGAGACCTTGAGTAGCTTGTGACCCATCCGCACAATTTTCTCTATGACGTGGGCTGCTCAGGGTCTATGCTTAATAGCAAATGCCACATGGGCCGCCAGAAATCGTTCCCAGCGGTCACTATCAGTTGACTGAAACTTTACGGAAGCACATGGCCTTACAGGCTTTGATATCAGCAGGGGCATCTCGAGGCAAACACGGCAGCGAATCAAAGGGGTACTGCCACTAAAGCAAGCCGTCATGCCATGCAACGGCCCAAAACAAACCGCAGCGTTGCCTCCTGTCAGAATCTACGTGGCTGCCTACTCAATACGCAATTATGTGGTTGTGTATAGGTTGAGCAATGTGGAGATCAACCCGTGGGTTAGCCTGAACTGCGGTGTCCACCGCGGCCGATTTGCACTCTGATATAGCCACGACTTTATGGGGCAAACTTTTCCACCGAAGCTCCCAGAAATGGGCTGGCCAGGCTTGGTATACACGCCACAAAAACTGAATTGTATTGAATACTGTACGCGTAAAAATAACCTGTACGTTTTTGCATGTAAAAACGAGTGAAAAGACGTAAATACAACGTAAGTGCAACCCTGTATACATAAGGACAGTACGTCCAGATTTGGAAGCCCGGGGAGTGGCATTCAGACGCGCTGGAATGGGTAGAAGACCCACTTGTGTTCCATGCCGTCGTTGCCCTTGCCGAGGGCGAGGTGGGCACCGTGCTGCGGGTGCTGGAGATGGCGAAAGACTGATCATTGTACGCAACTTTCATCGTGTAACCGGGATGTTCCAACAAGCTGCAAAAACGTAACAATAGCCCATTTCGCAAATTCACGTTTTCCCTTGTGAAAACGTAAACATAAACGTGAAAACCAAACCTGGGTCTGGCGATAAAGACAAATCCCAATTTCGGGAGATTAATTGTGGGTACTGCAGGAAGTGAATTTCACGGGGCAAAAAAACAGAAACACATAAAACATTGTGGGACGTCGAGTGCCTGAAAGTTAGTGTGCGTCAATGCTTTTCCACGAAATGCCCGCAATTTAATGTGCAAGAGCCTTTCCGAGTATACAATAGTCTGCTAGGAATGGCCAAGACTGTGAACGAAAATCACAGCATGAGCAAATCTAGATTCTTGCCTCAGTATTTTGTGGAATTGGGGTGGGATCACAAATATGAGGGAAAATGATTGCCTGTGTTTGATTCCAATCTTTGAGAATGCTCCCCGGATGATTCGTATATTTTGTCGGAACTGCAAATACGCCAACATTGCAACGTCCGACAAAACTTCTAGAGGGTGCATCCACCGCCAATCTGCGATGGGCTTTGGAGGAGCACCTTTTATTCGGGAAGGCCAGCGTGTGCGCAACCTGGGGAATTCTCTCTGTGATCGATGTCTGTGCGCATGGATGGCTTGCAACGAGATTGTCCCCACCGGGGTAGAAACGCGATTTAGCCAGAAATACGTTGCGCTCGTGGCGTACAGTAAAAGAGTCCCAGAACTGTCTGCAGTACAGACAGGACATTATTAACGTACGTGGATAGTACATACTTGTATGCGCTCATCACGGCGTATTCTAATGCAGAATGCCACATCATACCATAGGGTTATCAACACGACGGAGAAGCAATGGTGAATCTCAGTTGACTCCAGGGAACCAATTCCACATACGCGAGCGCTATTGTCCTACGAAAGCTGTAAAGTTCTCATTATTATGCTGATCTTTATGAGCTGAAAATTGTGACTTGATGCTGGGATACACTGCAGAATAGGCCGTCATATATGTAGGAATCGCACTACGGTATATACGCATAAGCATGAGAGTCGATGCTCTCTCTCAAGGGATAGGTTTCAGAACACGTGCATGGTATTCGCGGACATCACAGGCACCCCGCGGTTGGGAAGCTGGCTCAGCTGTCGACTGGGTTCCAGCCAACAGGTTTATACTTATGGCGCAAACATATGCACCTTCGTGAATGAAAATTAATTTTAACAGGCTTGGTCTTTACGGCGTAAACGTTGAGTGTCTACCCGTATTTACGTGTAAAATATTAATTCCTCCGTCCCAAATTAAATTGCAGTTATGAGTTGTGGCCATGGAAAACCCACTTAAACGTCTCAAAATTTCAAAAAAATTGTGAAAATTTTTCAACTTACGCCTAGTTTGTGCTACAAAGTTTTTGAATCAATCTTTTAAGTGCTTAATCCGTTGTGGTATCTTGAACAGTCTCCACTGTTCTGGAAATACCCCAGTTTTCAATGTGGCGCCGAAACTGTCTTTTTCCGGGCCCTGGACCATGCCACTTTGCAGTGGGCCCCTCCAAATGGAAATGAAAAGAGTTGGAGACAAGCTTTAGACTGTAGGTCAGAGTGGATATATAGAGGCAGAGGGCAGGTTTCCAGTGCATTCTGCAAAAGCGTGATCAAGCATCTTTACCGTAGATTTGAGACTACATGCCGAACAACTGATACCATCGGTAAGCCTTTCCGTTATTCTAACAACAACCCCGCTGGAACGAACTTGTACCACACATGGTAAGGGAACTGCGGACGTCCCAAGACACAGCAGACGCATTTTGCAACGAAAGTTGAAAAGAATGCGGCACACAACCGGCACACAATTCGGGGAATGGTGATTAAGGCACAAGACGGGCGTGATCCTCAATAATGGCTTCTGGGACGAGCTGGCGGTCTACCCTCCGATTTCGCATCTCTATTCCAACCTGCAATTTAAAACACGTCTCTAAGTCACATCACTTTGCGAGGTTGGGGGCACCACAAGGGGGGATGGTCCAAGGCCTAGAAACGGGCTGTCTTGGAGCCATTTTGAAATGCCTGGCTGAGTGACGTATGTTCACAATGACACTGCGAATTGAATAATTAGCCAACCAACTCAAAAGTTTGCAAGCATAAAGTAGACTGAAATCAGAATATAGTGACAATTTTCTGTGGAAATAAAACATGGTAGGGTGGGTTTTCCAGGCTCACGGTTCATAGCTGCCATTTATTTTGGGGGCGGAGGAAGTATTCGCATTTTCATGCAGCAAAATATGTAGAAATACGTAAATTTGTGGCAATGGACATAAAGACAGTGCATGCAGATTCGGGGAATTAGAGGAGGGTAGCTAGACGCGCTGGAGCGGGCATAAAATAAACTTTTGTTCGACCACGCCTTGGCCCTTGCCTAGGAAGAGCTGGATGCTGTGTTGCGGGTGTTCGAGGAGCGGAGGACCGATCATTGTTGCGACTTATCACGTTACCTGGGTGCCCCGTCAAGCCACAAATGTACGTAAGTACAGCCATAAAAAAAGCCCCTTTTGCAAATCTGCGCTTTTTTGCATAAAACGCAAACGTGAAAATGTAAGCGCAGAACGTAAACGTAAACGTAAAGGCCAGGCCTTAATTTTGCGTTTTCTTAAATTATGTCTTTTGGGATACATTAACCATATCCGTACGTGCATTCACCACGCAAGCGCCCTATGTGGCGTAAATCACTTCCCACACGCGCTTGCGCAAGCGCATGCGTGTGAAATTGCAAACCTTAGCCACTCGGGCCTCGTCACTCCTGTTCCCGTGCGCGCAGCTCGCTCAGCGCACAGGCACCCGCGTGATTGTTTTTGCTAGGCGCGTTTCGGCCAGCGTTTCATGTGCATTGACCACGTCCGGCCAGCGCCCTCATGCGCCGCCCACAACGGGGCGTGCGTGGAGCGCAGCGCGCCAGGGCGATGGTGGTACGGTGAGTCCCACGCACGCGGCACTTAAGCGCAGCGACAGGCCGTGACAGGTGCTCAGGGGCGCCTGCGTGATTCTGTGGATACGCCCCCACCTGGCCGCCCGCCGGGCTATTCGCCAGCACCGCGGCTGCTTGGCCGTTGACGAGTTCCTATTTATTGGCACCGAAATGCAAGCATATGTGCCCTGGACATACAGCCAGTACATAGAGGCACAGGGAGTCTGGGGAGTGGCAGTCAGACGCGCTGGAGCGGCCAGAGGGCGTCTGTTTGTTCGACGACGCCGTCGCCCTTGCTCAGGGTGACGTGCGTGCTGTGTTGCCGGTGCTGGTGCTGGCAGACTGGTCATTGTTTGCGACCCCATCAACCTGGGTGTGTTGACGCGCTCCACAAATGGGCTTTTCTCTGTTTGCGCGTCTCCGCACACAAAAGCGTGGATGCAAGCATGCTGCCGTAAAAATAATGACCAACCTGAACAGTAATAACATATAGCAAAATATCGGCCATTGCGATCTGTTCTGCGTCGCTGGCGTTTCGCGTGTGCACATGCTGGCCTGCACACTGAGTTCAGCACCGCCTAGGCAGCAGGTATTGCTCACTCGCAGCCAGTCATACCAGCTGGTATATTATGCATAAAATACAGCACGGTTTCCATTTCAAAGATGCACTGGACATGTTTGCGGGAGCCATGCGACAGCGCTACTAAACCGGCTTGTGCTGAAGGTTCTGGACCCTGCATGGAAGCAAACTGCCGAAAAACACATGCCTCGTCGTCTTGTTTCCATCCCACCATCAATTACCCCCCCCCCCCCCCCCCCCCCCCCCCCCCCCCCCCCAAAAAAAACGAAAAAAAAACGATGGCAAGCAATCGCCAGTAGCCTGTATCTTGGGATCCTCAAGCACTACTCTATTCCGCTCGTGGAATCGGAACTGGAGCCAATCTTCGTTCGTCACCTGCGTCTGCCAGCGCGGGACTACCGAACGCTGCAATTTGGATTCATGTGACGTCAACACATCAACTGTCCTTTCACAGCTGGTATGTCCTTCTCACGCGGGCTGCAGCCCATTTTGCAGATATAATCACATGGAGTTCTGCCTCTGTTATCTACGGAAGTTTTATTGGCGCCTTCTCCAACAAGCCGCTTGACAACGTCCAGATTAACCTCCGCAGCGGCAGTGTGCAGCGGCGTCTTGCCATCCGAATCCTGGGCATCGATGCTTGCATTGTACTTCAGCAACACCTCCACAACGTCGGTAGCCTGATGTCTTGCTCCCTCATGCAGGGGCGTCGTGCCGGCGAAGTCGGGCTCATTGACATCCGCCCCCGCTTTGGCAAGGGCCTCCACGGCTGCTGATCTACCATGAGAAGCGGCGATGTGCACAGGAGTATACATCTCCAAAGGTGTCTTGGCGTCGATGTCAGCTCCTGCTCCATCCGAAGAATGTTGTTAGAGCACTGCATACTGAAGAACGTTCACCAGAATCATCTCCAAAATTGGTATTCGAACCCCGTCCCTCAACTCTCTCCATAACCTGGACGTCTCCTGTTGGAATGCAGCTTGTTACACGGAACGATTGTGTTGGATCTCCCTGGGTCTTTTCAGTAAAGAACGTCACTTTTAGACATGGATCCAAGGCGGCATCCGTCGGGAGGCTGTTTTCGATTCTGGTGGGAGAGAGCGCCTCGTTCTTCCCCCTTCACTAGTAGATGGCAGTGTTATCCTACGTTTTTGTACCTTTGAAAGCCATGCTGCTGCAGTTGCCTCCAAATGTACCCGAGCGGCCACCAGTGCAAATGATCCGCTGGGCAGCGCATGGCTCCTTCATGGCATTTGCTGCTCAGCAAAGAGCACCGCACTTTGTAGTCGTCGCTGCGCAATCCAACAGGCCAAAGAGGCCAAGCGCCCAAGATGTCTTGGAGAACGGTCGAGGTGTTCGTGGGCGAAAAAAATTCGTGGGTCGGAAAAGTTTGCGCTGAAGAATTCTTTTCAACTGGCCCAAGTGCAACTTGCGCGATAGCTTTCTGCCGCGAACGTTTTTGTTATGAAGTATGGCCAGCGAAAGTACTGTTTCATTGCACTGACCAAAATTGATTGCAATGGTACAGCTCCGTCGACAAGGCAATTTACTCCATCCTGAAGGCATTGCCCGCCTTATTTGACTGACCCTCGTCCACTGTACCTAGCATGAAATACTTCCATTCGTTCTTGCGACATCATCCACATGGCATGTATTAAGTGAACTAAGGGTTCTACAGGTAACATGCTTGTGGGAGGTACCCACCATGGGTGAATCATGACCGCCATGGAATGTGACACTAAAGGGTGCGATCAATCAGTTTATACTTGGGGAATCTTATTGCATCATTAAAAAACATCAATAAACTGAATTATCACAAACTATTGTATTATTTCAAATGATGCATACATCAAGCCATTTATGCATAATTCAAACAATGTGGACAGTATACAAGTTGCAAAGCAATTTGCAAAATAGAAGCTACCAAATTTGTTAGTTTACTAGTTACCAGATTGACCAAACACTCTCGCGCCCTCGCACACGGTCGCTCCCAGGCACGGGAAGTGAGGACGCAACCAGATGCGTTATAAGATGAGTGTATCAGCTAAATAACCACCACTGCAGTAGTGTTTACTTCCCCGCCTCCACTGCCTCCATGCACATTCGCCATAACACCATGTTCACCGCATTTACTTCCCACCATAAATTAAGTGCTCTCTCACCCTCACAGTAGTCATACGATTCTTGGTAGTATTATAATTAAACTATCAGCCGATGAACATTACCAGATTTAAGGTCCTCTGGTTGGCCACAGGAGTAATCGTTGCTTGGGAGTGCTAATGCCACTCAAACAGCTAATACGAGCCATACAGACAGCCACATTTCGGGAGATCCCATGCAGGCTGCTTTCAGACGACAGGAGCACTGTCTTGGCACAAAAACGATGCCAGTGCTGACGCACAGGCACAGCAACCTGTCGCGTGCAAATGTCCTACTCGCAAACTATTCTGACACTGAAAAAAGGCAACTGCTGTATACCGAAAATTTATCGCGGAAAAAAAATTTCGTGTACTTCGCGGGAAAAAAAAATCGCGGAGAAATATTCTCGCGCACTGGCTCGACCGCGAAATGCACGAAAATTCTTCTCCCGCGAGAATTTTTCGGTATGCAGTATTTGTGATCGCGTTGTCCCGCGCCGTCATGAGACTTGCCCTTGCATAGCATCTGCGTACCTCTTTGTATCAGCACATCGATGGCCTGCACGACACCCCATCTGGCGGCGACGTGCAGTGGTGCACGCCCTTGCATTGTGGTGGCGTTCACGTCAGAGCCCCCCTGGATGAGACATTCCACAACCTGGGGCTCGAGGTTCGAGTTCTCGCTGGCGTAATGCAGTAGAGTCCAATCTGATGGAAAGATCTTCAAGACGCAGCACTCGTTGCCGTCCTTCAGGCTTGCGTACACCATTGCAGGGCTGATGTCTGATGCTCTCAACGCATCTTTCACTGTCTAGGAAAAATGTATGTATTCATTACCGTCTTGTCATTTGCGGACTACAAAAATACTGTGCAGACACCCAGCAGGCAACAACGATGCCCGGTAATGTCAGGCTTGTTATTTACAGCGTAGATATTTGCATATGTATGCACCAAAAAAATGAGTACGTATTTACGTGAAAACAGGTGCAAAACTGCGTAAAAATGGGCCCTGTGTACATAACGACAGTACACACAGACTCGGAGCGGCAGCCAGAAGCGCTGGAGTGTGCAGAAAACGACTTTTGTTCGACGGCGTCCTTGTTCTTGCCGAGGGCGAGGTGGACGCTGTGTTGCTTGTACTCAAGGGCGCCGAGGACTGATCATTGCTTGGGACATCGTCATGTAATCTAGGTGTGTCGACAAGCTGTAAAATGCGTCAACATGCCTGTGAAAGTGCCCGCTTCTCTATTTACACGTTTTCAAGCGTTACAATGTAAGCAAAAGAGATGGTGCCGTAAATGCAAACACAAGCCCAGGTGATACTGAAACAATTCTTCGGGGCATTGAATGCCAGGATACAGTGCTATATCCGACGGGTATGTGCTTGGCTGATTCGATCCTCAGCTGTACAGCTGAGGATGTGCCACAGGGGTCAATTGTGTGTGGAAAGCATTTGCCCTGGTTCTGTCTGTTTTCTTGCAAGGAAACAAAGGACCCACCTCGCAGTCTTTGTTCACAGGGGCTTGTCTGCAGGTGCCGGGCGCCAAGGGGCATTCTGGAGGCACCTGAAATGCATATTTATCACCAACCAATTGTGGCTCAGTGCCCATTGAACACTGTCATATTGTGTGGAAGAATGTTTCAATGCCATAGCTCAACCATGGGCGAACTTTGATCATGGCCCCACCTGTTTCGTGGCACACATTCACGGAGGACAAATAGAAGAATTCTAACATGACGCAGACGCACCATAACCTCATTGGCGCTCCCAGAACTTGTGTACCCCACACTTTGTTGGGAGCAAAGACCAGTGTGACTGCCAGGCCATTTTGCAACACTTACACTCAAACCTGAACAAGTGTGCAAAGCACAATCGGTTTTCCTCAGCACCATCCCCAAGCCCTGTTTCTGCGCATCACGAGTTGCACAATTCATATTCACATTCACACATGTAGGCATGCGCACTTCGTCACTGGGCAATTGCATCACAATGTGCACTGATCTTGAAAGGGTGGTATCCCAAATGGTCCCATGAGGCTTGTGGCACGCCGCAAGAGCTGCACACGACACATACCTTCGCTATCATGGAGTTGATCCACTCACGGAAGCTAGCCACTTTCGTGTGCACTCCTGGATTGTTTGCCACACACAATGACGTATTGGCAAATGAAACAATGCCGACCAGAAGATCATTAGTGGCCATCCCGGCATCCACATTTCCTCCAGGATCATCAGCCAACAGCAAGGGGCCCCCGCTGTCGCCTGAGGAGCAAAAGTAAGTTGTCAACACCGATTTCGCAAGCAAGAAGCATGGTTGGTTTGAGCCAATGTGAAGGTAATTTGTGGTTGAATTAAAATTTTTAAGGCTGGTTGTGATGGCAAAAACCTGCTCCATTCTGCACGAAACAACTGGATCAACTCAGCTAGGACACTGTCTCTACGTGGATCGAATAAATGTTCTTGAGCTTAACCACCTCTGGGGAACTGAGGTTCACTCTGGGGTAGGCAGTCCAGATCACAATGGTGTTCATCTGCTCAACAGACCAGAAGTACAACCACAATGAATAAAAGCTGCTCCACTGAGTCCTGCACAACTAGTCCTAGAGCATCATACTGTTGCAAACCTTGTGTTTCTCTGGGAGCAATGCTTTGGAGGGCAACTCCTTCAGAATCGTCCTGGCAGAGAACAGGTACAGGCTGTGCAAGTTTCTCTGGCAGGGTTACCTACAACTGGAATTGCTAATGCAACTACGAACGTGTGCAGGCTTCCAGCTTGACATTTTCTGCAACACTGCTGGGCACATCGTTATGTGATCAACAAGCTGTCATGAACGACGCAGCCTTTGATACATACAGTAACTACAGCAATGGTTGCACAGCATCCTTAACAAGATTCCTTATCTCACCAATGCAGAGGCTCTGGTTGCCCATAGTGCACACCATGGTGTCCTGGATGACAACATTAGGAGCCCAGGCTTCACGACAGCTTTGTTGGGGTACAACCTGTATTTGGACAGCTTGTTGTAGGCGGTTGCTTTGTGAGCACGTTCCTTGGTCCCCCCAGCCTGTCGCCACGAACAGCGTGCCCTCGCCAAACCCGTTGTCATTTAAAATTTGGACAGGTTTGATCTTTGATCGTCTAGGAAGCTTTATGAGGGCCAGGTCATTCCCGTCATCCACAGTGCCTGTCCACATGGGATGTTGTTTGATGCCCATATCTGCTGGCTTAAGATATACCTACAAAAGCATGCAACAAAAATAAGCGCAAAGTTTGAACAGTATATTCAGATCTAATGCCAACACCCATGAAGTTCTACTAGTGCAGGTCATAACCTTGCCCAATTCTCTCTGGAATATACTATGCTCTCGATATAGCAAGGCAGCAATGTAGACACAGGTACAGCTGTAAACATCCTTGCAAGACTACCCTCCATTGCTGAAGTAGCATGCTTGCCATTGGGCTGACAACAGAAATTGTGCATCCCTTTCTCCTGTTTGTACGTGCATCATTTCAACTGGCCTCCAATGTGCCACGTATTGGTCAGCGCACAGAAGAGCCGCACATCAATCTATTGAGAGGACATGCTGCAACCTCTTTCACATCCACAATGCACATTCAGTGGAAAATGCCAGGAATTCTGTTGAGTTGAGGCATAAACTTTGTTGACAATCCATTTTGGCTGTCACAGCATAAAACAGCTCTCCAATATCAGTTTACTGCTTGTTTGACTTATTCAATAGCCGTAAACACTGCAATGATAATTTGTTGATGAATCGATGCATCTTCTGGCACACTGTTGACATATTCGCCAACAGTGCATGATTGTCAATGCTCAAACATCGCGCTCTTGCATCTGTTGATCTCCACCCAGAAGACATCTCACCTCCACTCCATCATCTCCATTTTCACCAAGAATACATGCCCCAACGACAATTTTGGGGATTTCCATTGAGTCCACACAATGCGCAGCTGTCAACACCCATTCAGGGTCTATCAACACACCTCCACACCGGTGCATGTCATTCCGACTCTGAATAGATGCCATGAATGGATACCTGCCACATGGTGCGTTGGTTCCCTGCAGAATGTACCCCAATGTCCCAAACTTCAGCACATGAGTAGTCAGTTCCCTGAGCGCTATTCTCTGAGCAGGCCTGTCAATGCGACCTGCAGGGTGCATGGTCACTGAAACTGCCGCAGGCTTGGCAAGCAGCAGCATACTGTCTATGTGCATTTTTCTGCATAACAGCAATAAGGCGGCAGCTAGCTCACAACTCTTCAGCAACATGGGTACTAAGCACATGGTGCTGACAACAGCAAGTGTTAGCAGACTCAAGCCAAGATGCCTTTCATTGTTGCATCCATTTTGCACTGAACATATTGAGTCCGCCAAGAAATGGCATCAAACTCAGTATGCCAAGGCCAAACACTTTCATGTTAAGGGATATTCTTAGTTTTGAATTTGGAGGCAATTTTGGTTGAACAAATGTTACCAACATTGACAAGTCAAATTCACAACACAAGAGTTGTTGCAGGCTATAGTACTGCACACTGTGGGATGAGAAACAGAGTTAGGTGATGCAGTGTTTGTCTCTGGCAATGTTTGCAACACCATCCAATAGCATGGGGAAAAGTCACGTTTGCCCTGTTCAGATGGGACTGCCATCTGAAAAATATGCCTGCAGCAGTAGTTCGTACTTGCTGCGAGAGGTGTTGGGGATACACTTTGGGGAAGAGACTATGTTGATTTTGGTACACATAACATCAAGTTGACACCAGGATCAGACCCACGATTACAACTGGAGACACTACATCATCTTCTCACAGCAAGAAAAAAGAGTCTGGCTTGCACTTGCTCAGGTGGGGTCCCATTTGTATGGCCCGTTTCTCTTTCTCTTTGTAAAATATCCCCTCCCCCGGTGTCAATCCTTATGTCGATGCCAGGATGACTCAGCAACATTACCAAAAAGAACGGTGCAAAATCAATGCATCGTCAAGACAAGCAACAGCCGGAGTTGCAGCGATTGTACAGAGGTTGGCCATGATAGGCGATTGAGGCAGCCCAAAAGGCTGTCAACTGGGGCATTTTGTGAGCCTCCATAAGGATTGAATGCTGAAAGAGGTTTGGGACAAACAATGGATTGCTTGGTGCTGTCCAGCTATGGTTTGGGTCTCTTCTCAGCTAATGTCGATTTTGTGGCATTGCATCATTCCTTAGCATCGCTGGTCTGTACCCTCCCTCATTAGCATCAAATTCACGCTAAGCATACCAAATTCGACATAGTGTCTTTCCTTACATAGATTATCAATGGGCATCCTTGCTGCAGCAGTCTTCTGCTCCCTGCTTGCCTCTCAGTCATGGAATCAAAGTCCACACCTGACGGCAAGCATCTGATCCATCAGCATGCACACACAGACGCCCAAGGGGCCGTGGTCTCTCAAACCAGTTTGTTGAGCGCATGCCACTCACAATGTTGTGTTTGAACAAGGTCTGAAGTTGGAAATTCCGGCAGCAGATAGCAGAGCACACGCGGCGCATCCACATGGCATTAATATCCACATTCAGGACACCCAAAAAAAGCGAGACGAAGAGATGAATACCACCGTTGGGTCGGTGACCAGGTGCATGACAAGAACGCTGACGCGGTTTGGACCATAAGAGAGGCGTGTCCGTACGGCGCATACCCACAACACACAGCAGGCAACGATGCGTTATTGTCCTCCAGTCAAGGTGGGACAGCACAACTCTGACGGCAGCCAAGCCATACTGCACACGGTATCAGGACCGCTGCCAGCGGTGTGGGTTGGATTGACCTGCTTCGGATTTCAACCTCTCAACCGCCGAGCGGTTGCGTGCCGCAGGGTTTTTCGCTCGCGCTGCACCTAATGGTAACACATCGACTCCCAAGGCTGAGAAACCTCTTTCCCATCTCCACCGGTCCTTGCGCTGATCGGTAGGCCCCTCCCCGGGCGTATCGTCTCACGCCCAGCGAAGCACCATCGCAGGCGACCCGCCGACATTCCGTCCCTCTCCGCCTAAGCGTGCTGCCTGTCCCCTGGCCGCTTCCAGGGACTTTCTGTGCACTTGGATTCTGTGCAGCCAAACTCCCACGCACACTGAACCCAAGCCTAAACCTCCCATGCGACCGCGAGACGAGCTCTGACGCAGAGGATGGGGCCCGCGATCGCAGCGCATTGCCCACGCCGAGAATCGATCGGATGTAGCCGATGACTTTCTCGCTCCTGCGGCCTCCCTGGCTGCTCTTAGTGTGCAACTTCGCCGCAGTTGGGCAATAGGGCCCGGTTGCCGGGCGCGGGTTCCCTACCTCCGTCGGTGACGTCCCCCGGAGAGTGATTCGGGTCTTGCACGGTGGTAGGCTCTGCCCGAACCCATGGCGCAGGCGGGATGACCGCCAGCACTGCCAAGGCCCACACGAACGGCGTCATGGCGATCGCAACCGCGACGGGAGCAGAGTGGAGTTCGGAGACTTGGCGCCTGGCCTTCGGTGATTCGCTGTGCTGGCCATGAAGCAGGGGGGCCCTGGCGCAAGCGGGTGACCATCGACCATATCGGCAGGATCAACAGGGGCTTACGCTATTGTCTTACGACACCGGCTGGCTCAGCGTCGGTTCTGCGTGGCTGGATCCCATCCTATATATCGGGGAGGTGCACTGAAACGCATTGCTCATGAATGCTCTGCTTCGCATGTGAACCATCGTACAAAGCCCGTGAAAGTCAGGCTGAAACTTGTCTGTGGCTTGACGGTGCAGTCCAGAGTACTAATCCACAGTACTTATCTCTTGTGTCACCTTCATACCCAACTCAAGCGATGGGGGGGACGGGAGCAAAACAAGTTAGTTGGCAGAGAGAAGACAGCTCGCCAAGGCGGCCATCAGCATGCACACGTACCAACGGTCACCGGATTTCTTGGCCTCCGTTTACGTGCAGCCCGTGGACCCGAGGGTCCAAGCTGCCGAGGCATGGGGTGGCCAGCAACAAACCTGGCCATGGGAGCTGCCCAGGGTGCCTGGCGCATCCCCAAGAAGAGCCAGGCGTCGCGATTCCTTTCCTACTTGCCAATCCTTTGAGCACAGCGTGCGGCGCTTACCTGCACTTCCTGGTGCACCTTTACCAAGCGCCATTCTCCATGATGGCACATTCCCTGGGACCACCAGGTGCCCCCAATTCGGAAATCGGACCCCAGTCCGTTTTTTTCCATTGCGCCCCTTGCCCCACCGGGTGTCAAGAGATTGTGACAATTGTCTCAGGCCTTGGTGCTCGAAGGCTACACGGTACTCCGTGACAGGACCACGAGCAAGACATCAACAAGTTGGGCAACAATGCGCCCCAGTTTTGTCGGACCGGTCCTGATTTCCGTAAAGTACTTGGCAGCAGTGCGGCGCGCTGCACTTACACCTGCTACAGTGCGCTGCACTAAGCATTCGCCAGGAGGGGTGTGCTGTGCGGCTGGACGCATTTGACAGCAACCCGATACCTGGAGCCTACCCAGTCCGCAATGGCCTCCGCCGCCGACCTGCAGAGCGCCGCGTTGGGCGTTTGCCACTCCACAGTCCATGCGCCCTGGGGAACGTGGGAGGAATGGATGCAACTGCGCGACAGCCTGCTCGCGAACGACATGGACGGCGTTCGCAAAGGGATTCGTAAGGTTGATATCCATGTGCCAGGCCACCCAAGGAGCCACCCAAGGCTACCCATCGATTCTCCGCAGTGATGCGCTCCCATGCTTTCAGAACGAACTGGTGCCGTTGGTGGGTCTAGATTCATTTGTCGACGTTCAGGTGCAGGCGTGGCGAGCGACGCGGGAAGGACTGCCGTTGGGCGTCGATTTGACATGCTTTCTCGTGGAGTTGACCGCCCGGGACCCATCTGGCACTCTTGACCGGGAGGCGCGTCAAGTGTCCGACTGTTTTCCTGAGTCGGTGCTGCGTCTGGGGTACACGATGACAATTGTCAGGTGGGTTGAGCAAGATTCCTCGACATGGAGGGCTATTGCTTGGGCAAGCCAGTCGAAAACTCCCATTTCAACGCCATTGGGCAAAGAATGTATTTCAGAAAAAGGGTGCTCACAGGAGGGCAGCACATCAAGATCGCGGTTTGTCTGATTGCTGCCTGCAGAGATCATGACCTTTAACTCTTCAGATATCACTGTTGGGATTGGACAATCGGCTCGTCCTTCACGACAAGCGAATCATACATAGCACAAAACCACATAAACAGTGTGCTTGCACATCCTAAGGCCATACGAAATGGGAAGAAAGGTTGGCAAAAAAGCGTCCATACTGTGCTTGACCAACTTGCAGCTTGGCCCATTGCCGCCCAGCACTAAACATTTTGATGGTGTTGTGTGGTAGTTTTGCACCTGTAATGATTGGCTTGTTACATGTTTAGGAGCATATTCTGTGTCTGATTTCTACTGCAATTAATGTCTGTGTTCATTGATTGCTCATTTCATCACTTGATGCCTTGACAGGCTTGTCACAGGAGTAATGGACTCAATTCGCAAGGCTGGAGGCACGACACCAGATGCTGGGCTGCCATGTGCCTTAGTGGAAGGACGGAATGCTGCAGTTCACCAGAAGTTGCCAACGCTACAGAGGGCTAGGGTCCTGGCCAATTTGGCTTTGGGATTTCTTGTAGAAAACTACTGGCAAGTATCATCGAAATAGAAAAATGTGTGTTTTTTGCCTATCAATTCAAAGCAGTTTAGTTTGTGAATTCCCCTTACTGCAATTCCCCTTACTGCAATGCCACTGTGTTTTCCTTTTTCCAGGGATAAATAGACATTCACTGCATCCTGGCATCAAGGGCCCCCGGTTGCACTAACGACCCCATCCCTAACACGAGCAGCGGCTGCTATGTGCGCTGTTCTGAAAAATTGGTGCCAATGTGTTCGCCCTCTTTGCAGCTTTTCACATTTGCGTTCTCCCCTTTGTGGATTCTGAACACACTGGGCAAAGCACACAGAGCTCCAGGGAGTTGTGCAAAAAGGGCTGTTGTCTTGTGCTGCAAGAAGGAAGCTTCTCCACACAGAGGCCTCATCTTTTTGTCCTGCCAAACTCTTTGTGTCCACTGCGGCAGGAACGTTCAGGCTGCAGATGTTGCCACCAGACCAGGAAGCATACAACAGGTGACTGTGTAAGCAAGTGTTCAAAATGCAAATGCAGAAGTTGCAACACAATCCTATGCTTTGGCTTCACAGTTGGGACTGTGGGCAGTGTTGTTGGCTGGGTGGCATATGAACATGTTATTCAGCATTTTGCCTTATAGTCTTCCTTGTAAGCCTCAAGTGTTGAAGCTTGCTGCACATGGAGACCTGGTGTATGGTGTTTGTTGGCATGTGTGGAGACCTTCTGCTCTGTGTTGTATAGGCTCTTAAAGCAATAACCCTGCACATGTCAGAAATAAAGGCACCTGCTAAAAGGAGGAAGAAGAGGAAATCTGTTGATCAAACAAACGATGTGCCTCGGCGCACCATCGTTTGGGGCACATGTGGCTCGTCAAGCGATGAGGAAGATGCTTCTGTTCAGGAGCAAGTTCGAAATGGGGGCGCAGAATGCATGTCAGGTGACAATAGCACACATAAAGGTTGTCGCCTTAGACATAGTCATGAGAGCCATATTCTGTTTGTGTGTTGTGAGGTGCAAATATAGGGCAATAGAGCATAAGCGGTTTCACTGGCTGGTTCTGTGCTTATGCTGATGAACTCACACCTGAGGTCCCAATTCTGGTGCCCTGCATTGAACTAGTATGGAACCAACTACCCACGTTTCTACATTGTTGCCATCAAGGTCAGGAGTGCTTCCTGTAGACGACAATTGCGTGGCTGTCATAGGAGTGATACTCAATGTTGCCAACTCACTGAAGGCCAACCTCTATGGGACGATGACAAGTGCAAACTCAACGTAGCCTGATTAACAGCAACAACTGCTGCATGTAGGCTCCCAAGGGGAAGCTGTCACGGAACATCCTCCCAAGCGAGCAAGACATATAGTTGATGGGGCAATTAAAGAGATTCAGAGGCTGGTTCACGTGGATCAATGCAAAGACTTGGTGGACCCTATTCTAGACGATTCGGAGTTGCTAAACCAGGATCCAGCACCTGAAGATGCACATGCCAGGACAATATTCCAGACACTGAGTAGAGTCATATTCAACCGCTACCACAACCTTCCCAGCGAATTGTTGAAGGGATGCTTTTCCAGGCTGCTGTCAAGCACAGGGTCAAGTGCGGCTTGTACAAAGGAGGAACTGTGCACATGGATAAAATGGCTGTTGCAGCAGAGGTGAGGCTTGCAGCGCCAGATGTGGCATCTGGTGAGGTTCTTGTCCTTCTTAGCCCTCATTCTTCCCATCTCATTTGTGTATATGTGTGTGCATATGCCTGCAAACCCCCAACAACAAGGCTTGCATAGCTATACATTTGGTTGGAGGAAAATCCGCAAAATGACAATGGTTCACAGCTCATTTCCTGTTGCACTACCAAAATGCACCCAAGGTTGCGACATAACTGGTACAACTGTAGCCCTGCTATGGCCCCTGCAGAATGTCACACCTCATTTGTTTCGATATACATAGTGGGCAGGTCTTGCCAAAATTTGAATTGCATTGGTCGGGGCCCAACGGTGGCCCTGGATGTGCCAGAGGATGTTTACTGCAGGACTTTACCTTCGACTCATCATGGTAGGTAGTATGTGGGGGTCATTGTTGGGGCATGCTGATGTTTTGAGGCTACCTTTATTGCTTTCTCGATTTTCCTGCAGGGGTGGTGAGGACCCCCTGCCTGAGCTGCTCAACACATTGATCTCTCTGACACTGTCACGCATTCACTGGCTCCACACACTCACAAACTCATCAGGCCAAGCTGACGGCCATCGGTTGGCATCCATTCTGGAGCAGCTCCTTGAAAGAGCACAGCTCCAGGGAATGACACAAGAATCTGCCACCAAGTTGAAGGAGGTCGCAGATTGGGTAGAGGAAAGTACAAAGCACAACAAGAATCGAGCACAAACACGAAGCAAGGCACTGGTGGACGGCTACATCCCCTTGGCCACTGATGAAGAGAAGACAGTGGACGATGTCAACAAACTGATCAGAAGCCAGGAGAAATTTCTCGAAGACCACGAATCTGGAATGTACGGAATATGGACAAAATCACAAGGATGGTCGCTGTGTGTCTCAGGACTGGACTCTGTGTTTCCAGAGCGGCTGGGTTGGTAACAGGAGCTACTTGTGTGCGTCGTCCACTACTATCGTGCCACATGTCTATTCACATGGAGTGTGCATTGTTATTGGGAACCAGGTTCTACCAAGAGTTGAGGGCAGTGCATGCATGTGATTGTGCACAGGATGACTGCTCAACTTGCTGCACCCTCAGCGATGGCAGGTGGTGTGGTGGACGGGCCACCAGGGGCAGGTGGTGTGGTGGACGATAAACTTTTCAGCTGGGCAATGCGGTGTGTGATGCCCAGAGCATGACTTGATTTCATTTCTCCTCAAGATTTATTGCTGCTCCACGTGTCATGACAGCAGCTTGACATAAATATGGGGTAGCGCACATGGCGACCAGCACTGAGGGCGCGGGTATCACAAAGGCGCAACAGTAAAAGAATGAGATACACAAACTGTCACCAGCAAATTGGGAAACACAAGTTGGATTGCTTTCGCCAATAACCAATACCACTGCCTCCTGAGTACAGAGTTTCATGAGTCCAAGAGGGGCACATCGGGCGCGAATGGCACAAGATGACAGATCCGCAATAGCACATATGTGCTTCAACAGGGTGTCCTCCAGTCTCAATTGTATGCAGTCTGGTGCAAAGCTGCAGCCCGATCTGCCTCCCACAGCGGAAGGCTCTTCCCTCTCAATCCCCGCCCTCAAAGAGTCCTCGTCGGATGCTTCCCTTCCCACTGTCCCCCGTCGCCACGCTCTTTATTAACACCTTCACCTCTTTCACCTCTTCTTCTTGGCGTCCGCCTTGCCCTTGTCTCCACACAGCGGCGGCAGCCAGTCCAGCGGGTGCCGATTGAACCACGGCCAGTCTGGGGTCACGAGCACGAAGGCGAAGATCACGCCGCCTAGATAGATCTTCATCATCAGGGCGAAGTCGGAGGTGACGAATCCGGCGCAGAAGCCCGCCACCGCGGCCAACAGCGTAGCGATCAGACACAGCCTCTCCGCCATCTTCTGGCCCTGAAAATCCATCCTGGTCGGTTTGGGACGGTGACCAGGGGCGGAGTGGTGGCGCCAAGCAACTGGGTGTCGACCGATTTGCAGGAGAGCGCGAGGTGGGCCTCGACAGCAAACAGGCGCTGCCCTTGCACTGAGGGATGGTGATGGGACCGATGTGCAGCTTGAATTTTCACCACATATTAGATTATCCTGGGTAGGAAGGTATGGCGAAGGTGGAGATGCGTGTTGTGCCCATTTCGTTAGGCCGCTGTACACAAGAGATGGCCCTTTCGCACACTCAAGTGTGTGTGATCAAGGGATCCCACTGGACCTGTGCTTGGGACCATTATTTCCACGCGAGAGTATGGCTTTGACTGCTTCCATGGCTTTCTCTACTCCTATGGGAATATTCTACACCAAACTCTCGCATGGCCATTTGGGTGAGGAGCAGGAAGCGTACGCACTCAAGGAGCTGGTGTGAGCTCGTGTGCATGTTGCAGCCATTCAGGTCGATTTGGGTAAACCCTTCCAGCAAACTCCCAGCAAGGCATTGAAGAAGGCGACAAGCCGTGCGATGCATGGGGGAAGAGGGGCGTGGATGTGTGAGATGCACGGTGGGGCTGCATATCCACATTGGGCAGTATCACATCTGGCCTTGGCGTCGAACATGGCAGCAATTTGGCAATGGGGAAGTGCCAGCAGTTCTTGTCGCCGAACAGACAAGGATTTGGCGAACTGCATGGAAATTTCTTTTGCATTTGCCCCTGTTCCGTGTTCTCAGCTGTGGAGTCATCGGATGGCCAGTTTTCTGTGGGGAAAAAATGCCACCATGTCCAAAAAATTCTGGCACGGTGACACGCCCTAAAATTACCAACTAAAAATGTGTCGACCGTCCAGCAGGGGCCTGGGGTGCGAGCGCACGCACAATGGCCCCGCCTGCGCGATACGGGGCAGGCATTACTGTCGACACCGTCCTAATCGTTGCGATTCGACACCCTCCGGGCCGCCACAGCGCCAGAGGCGCCGGACGTTCGCCTCGCCCTCCCACTGCTGCGCACTCGAGTTGGCGTTCGGCTGAGGCCGGCGGAAAAACTAACTTTTGGGCGATCCTGCTCCTCTCTGGCGGGCTTTCCTAGCCCACGGCGGCGTGGCGACAGTGCTGGTGGGTTCTGGAAACTGTTTGCCCACCATCAGGACGAAACCGCGTCCGTGAAGACGTCCCAGATTCTGTGCTCGTAATTGTCGTTCCTCGCGCTCCGACACAGTTTTCCTGCCCAGAAACGGCGTAACTGCGCGCTACGATGGCGGAAGTGCCACGGACGTGTCTTTCGCTGTGTGGATCACTTGGGTGCCGTGAATGCTGTGGATGCTTGCCCAGTTGGGAATGGGTGACTGCCATCTAAACAATACTCCAGAAGGCCCAACAAGGCGGCCAGAGGCATCGTACAAGAGCTCAATAGTAGTCTGGATCAAACACTGTCCGCCATCTCCTCTAAGCTGCAAGGGCAGCACTCGTCTTGTTGTTGTAACATTACAGGAATGGCTTGACAATGGTACTGCACTTCCCTTGGGGCTGACAGCAATTGGAAAATGCAGAGGGAACCTCTGTTGTGGTTCCTGAGCAGATTGGGTTTGGCGATGCAGAAGCTGCAGTGCTGGACTGGTCTAGTCTGATCAGCTGGCTGGAACATGGTGAGGTTCCAGTGGCTGGTGGAGGAAGGCTACACCTGCCACACCCCGCTTGAGAAGGTGGTGTACAACCAGGAGCATGGGGTGATCTTTGTGACCATGGAATTTGAGGTGGGGCAATGGCATCCTGCTCTTTTGAACAGTGCATGGACTTTATGAATGCAGGAACCGTTGGATTGGTGGCTTCAGCCACTTGCTGCGCATCCTCAGTTGTGGTTTTGGCCATAATCCTCTGAGCTGGTTTGGCGCACTGTGCAGATCCCAGGACAATCTGGTCCAGTGGAGGCCCTAATTACTGTGCCGCCAACCTACCAGGACGAAAGCAAGGTGAGAGAGGTGGCTGTCGCTGGTGCATTTTGACACACTTTTGTCCGTCCATACCAGCTCAGATGGCGAATTAAGCCATTGATGCACTGCCTTGCAGGACCAAATTCTCCTGTCAAAACAGCGTTCAGTTTCATGTGTGACTGGAGGAAGTGCTCCAGCCATGTGTCCCGCCTTTTGCTCACAACTGGGATGCACTCATTACTATGCATTTGTACCATGTTCTAATGTTTGGAGAAAGCCACGCTGTGCTTTGTGGATGGGCATGCTTGTTGGCCAGATTTCACTGCAATACTTTCACAGACTCGCCTTGTGCCACAATCTTTGTGTCTCCAGCACACTTGCTTTGGTATGTTATTCTGGTTTCACCTCATTTTCCTTGGTGCCTCATTGTGCAGATGAAGGATGTTGGGGTGGCTCTTGGTCATGGCATGAATGCAGCAGAGTGGAAGGGCAAACTTATGACAGATATATCTGTAGCCCTTGCGAAACAAGGTAAGGGTAAGTCAGTGCACAAGCCCTGTATTTGCCTACTGAATCGTATATTTGCAGGAAAACAGTGTTGCAGTTGTGCAAACCTAATAGCGGTGTTCCTAGACATGTGCTCTTGAGGTCTGCAAAATATCCGCAGCACACAGCATAATAACGCGCAAAATGGACAGTTGCAGATGAACAACAATACTTGGTAACCCAATGTGTGTAATGAAGCCATGCACACAGCAGAATTTGCACATGTGTATGCATTGGCATTCAAGTGCCAACTACACATGGCATCTTCTCGTCAGCTCCTTGAGCATGCTGGGGAATACACATTTGTTGGTACGGTGTGACTTCGTGCAAATTTGATTATGGTCACAGGTGCATAGAAAGCAAGTAGGCATAGTGAAGACAGGAAGTTCACGGAAATTAGTGCAGAAGCTGCATGGTGGTGCAGTAATGTTTTTTTGTGTCCTGCAATTTGCCTTCTTGTGTTTGTGGCTGTTCTTGTTCGAGTCAGCACCATGACCTACTTGCCGCTGTTTTCCAATCCTGTTGTTTGGTCAGTGGACATGCACCCTCAGGCAGGCCCAGTGTGTTGTGGGTGACTGCATTCCCTTCCCTGTGGCTCTGGCAGGTTATGTCGTGTTGCGGTACTTCTGCAAACAGAAAGAACAACGTAGGCAGAGACTATTTGAGAAGGCTCTTGATGCCTGCGCCACATCTCCATTGGCCAGATGTGTGACGCGGTGGGTGTTGGCAGGTAACATGGGTTTTGGAATGGAATTAGCCTGGTTGGCTGTTCAAACGGCTCTTGTTGGGTATGGCGTGCTGGATGTACTCTCTGAAGTTTCAATTGTGTCATCTTGAACATTGCCTTGCATTTCATCTGTGGCAAATTAAAGGTGAGCGTGTTGCCTGTTCAGTCCTGATTCGCCATTTTGTCCTAGGTGGCTGTGATGCAGTTTGTAGTTTTCCCAAATCCAAAGTGGCATACCAAGTTACAAATTGCAAGTATGTTGGACTGCAGTAGGTACTTCAAGTCCATAGAACTACCTGGACTCATCAGCACTTTGCCAAAAATCGACTGGGAGTTGAGTCAGTTCTTGGGCATGAAAACTGTATCTTCAGACGATTGGCGTGTGGTTTGGGGCCTGCATTACTTCCATCGTTAAGTACATATCTACCACTGTTTGTGTGTGAGGAGCGCAAGCCACAGTCAGGTCCTGACTGGCCTGACTGGGCAATGACTGGGGTTCTAGGTATAGACTTAGGCCAGTCAGGACCCTTGCTTTGACATACGTTCTTGAAATGTACACACTCTGTCTGCTGGGGTTTACACCAGACAAGCTTTGGACTATTAATTGCTTGTATCACTGAGAGAATGGGTTAGAAGGGTGACTCTGGACATACTTTGCTGGTGCATTGTGCTGCAGGCATCGGAAATGGGGCCAGAGTGGCAGCTGCCGTTGGAATGAGGTGTCGCAGAAGTATTGCTGGCTTCGTGTTTATGTCATACCCATTGAATGTAAGTTTCTAAATGTGAATTCACATCAACAAACATCCATTTGCAGTGCTGCAGAATTCAAGCCTGTTAGCTGATCTGTTGTCAAGTTTGCGTTCCTATTCCTTGGTATTTTGGGGACCATTGTTTTACATATGCGGCAACGTCTGTGGCCTTCATAGTCAGGGGTGAAATTTAATGGTGTGGGCCTGTACAATAGCCAGTGTCTTGGGCACCTGTGGCGTGTGGTAGCAGATTCTAATTTGAAGTGGTGGTGATCCTGTGCCTCCAGGAACCAATGCCAAGCAATAAAGGTGCCCCAGCTCCAGACTCAGTAAGTGGCAGTGTGCTGCTGTTATTGGGGATGTAGCCTGTAGTAGAAAGGCATTGACAAGGGGACAAGGGGAAGGAATAGGCCAAGAATGATGCGGTCAACACAAGTTAGTTGGTGTGATCCGATGCCCCCCCCCCCCTCTCCTTCCGAAAAAAAAAAAAGGTGCTCAGATATGACGCTGTTTTCGCTGTTTTGTTGGCAAGAATGTACAATGCAAGAATGTACGATTGCCTGTAATTGCTGCACCCTTCAAGTTCCGATGCAGGACTGTCTGCAACACGGTATGGATTGGGACATACTAAGCCATTGATGATAAACATGTTTTTTGGCTTTGCTCAAGCGCACAGGCCCCTTTCCGACATGATCTGTAGGGCAAAGTCATGCAGCACTCACAAAATGACACATACTGGTGTGCCTTGAAGGCTGGGCCCCTGGTGAAGTTGGCAGCTCCACTGCTTTTCATCACAGCTTCCCATGACAAATTTTGCAAAGTAGAGGATCTGAAAGGCCTCAGCGAAAAGATGCCCTCTTCTGACATGAGGCTGATGGTCCTGCAGGTTAGTCCCTGAAACTGCGATTTTGAATTCTTTCTGTTACGACGTTCAAATCACATTCTAGCGTTTATGTACCACATCCAGTGCAATGCAAAGCAATGCCAACGTTTTTGCCGCATTCCAAGACGATGCAAAGCCCGTGAGAGGTGCCAAAGGTTCGGGAGTGGTGCGTGCTGTGTTGTTGTTGGACACAAAGCGATTGCTCACTGCAAGGCTATTTTGCTGCAGCCCAGATCGTGCCCATTCTTATTGTTTTGGTTGGAGGTGAAAAAGGGCGCAGGGAGAGTTCTTGCTACGTGCTTCCCTCAACAAATTTTTGTTGCACTTGCTGCATTAATGTCATGGTAATTTTGGATGTCGCCAAAGATTCAATGGATTTTGGGGATGGCTTTCTTCTGGCTGCATTCCTTCTGTGTCAAAGAAGCGTTGAGGAGAAAATGCATCCCAGTGAATCACCAATTGTCGCAATTGGCCTCATGATAACACGTTTGCATGTGTGAGGTTGCCTGGAGTGACACCATTTCATGTTGCCATAGGACCATGACCAGAATTTCCGCACACTGTCCGGAAAAGGGCCATTGTCAAGTGCCATCAGCATGCTGTGCAGCGCCACACTGGAGTTCGTGAACGCAATACAAAACAATGCCCTGGACTTGTGCACCTTGCCCCAACTTGTCCCCAGGGTTGAGGCACAGCTTCCCGTCGCATTCACCTCGCCTCCCATGCCACTTTCCATTGGCTACCTGGCTCAAGGCATGCCAACATCTACTGTCTCAGTGCCCATGGTGGTGTCAGAAGCCCCCGTCTTGTCGCCAGCGCTTAAAGATGTGCCCCAGGCGCCAAAGACCATGCCTTCAAGGCCTTTGTTGGCTCCTGACGTGCACCAATGGGATGGATCCAGCTTCATATCTGCGACAGGGGGCCCTGCATCACAAGAGCTCCCGCCATTACTGGCACCGAATGAGAGGCGTCTTGTAATGCCAACGCCACTGTCTTTGGAAGTGCGAGGGGTTGGGGCTTCAAGCATGCCTGGCAGCAGCGCTATTCGCCCAGTGCTGCACCTACCGCTTGGAAACCCTTCCCAGATGCAGTCTGACGGTTTGGTTGGAAGCATGGTGCCCTTGGGTGTGTGGGAGGGTGGGGTGCTGCCACATGCAGCACAGCGTATGGGGCCCCATGGAGGGCCGCCAGTAGTTGAACAACACGCAGGTGCTCCCATGTCTATGCCATATAGCGCTCCTCATTTGTGAACCGTGGATTCTGTGGTCTACATAGAATGAGGCATACGAAATAGACAGAATACTGGCAGCGAGTGATATACTGTAGGGTGGTTGCATGTGGTTGGTGGCTGGCGCAGTATGAGGGTTTGAATGTGCTGGTGGCTGCAGAACGTTCCTTTCAAATTGGGTTCCGTCTGAATATGTAGAGAAAAGGGGGACATCATTGCCGCTTGTGACCCATCTGGTGATGGGCAACATGTATGACTTGTATGCATGCTTTTGAAGCCATCACGGCCTGCCCTCTACACAATGTGTGACCATACTTTTGACCTGTGCGCTGTGGTGTGTTCTTACTTTGCCTCTGCATCACTGGCACGAGAAGCATAGCATTCAGCTGTGCATTGAGGACAGACACAATATATGGGGCGTGGATTTGTTCATATTACGTCAGCATGATACTTGCCGTTGCGTCTGTGCTGATCTGTTGGAGTACACATGGTAGCACTGGTGGTGGGCCACAACTCAGCGTATTCAATTCAGGTGTTGCCCGTGCTGCTATCCACTTTGTGCATTAGATATTCTGCAAAATGAGCCTATTTTTGATGGATTCATTTAGCTGAATGTGCAGGTGGACCAGGAGTGTGCATATTACAATACAATGCATGCAGTTCTTTTCCCTGCAGCATAAAAACTTGTGCACTGGTGTTGCATATAAGAAATATCAATGTTATTAGTAGGGCCCCGGGGGGCCAAGCACACAACAATACATCACGCATGGTGGCTTCATAGATTGTAAGCATTAGCGGTGCAATGAATACGCTGACGAATAGGCAATACATTGATACAATTGAATGAATAACTAACGTATGGCTTATAATTGTTGAGTAGAACCAAAACTATATAGTGTATATGCATAGTGGGTATATCCAATGTTCTCTCGCCAACGCTATTTGCTAGCGGAGTTGATGCTGCAAATTACCTCTGTCTCAAAGTCATGTGTGATGTGCCAGTAGAACTTTGCAAGATCAACTCAATCAGTCAACCGTTCACCGTTTTTTCGGAATCCTTGGCTGCTCTTAGTTTGATGTGGATCTGAATGTACTAGCCATCCCCATAAAACGTGGCATTCACAACTTCATCAAAGATGCACCTGTCTAGTTCCACCTTGGTCCTCAATTTCCTGCATTGTTGCTTTTCCCTTATTCCGGTATGTCTCAATTTATTTCCCCGAAATTCATTAACAGTCTTGTTGTAAACAACAACAGGCACTAGTGCACCCTAAAATGAGTTTCGACATCACTGCCATCACATCTTTTTGGGGTCGTCTCTTCCCATACGTTTACCCATGCTTCCACTTTTCTGGTTTTGAATGAACGACCGTGTTTGCCTCAATCTAGGCCCTTTTTTTGGTTGGTATGAGTATGCCTGGCCTTGCAAACCTTGGCAAATCTACAATGTAGACGATCTTACACTGATCAATGTATCTCGTGGCTTTCGGCCACCGCTTGCATGTGGTTGTTAGTGCCATAAATTTTGCTGCAAATTCTGCTCTTTTTCCTTGCAAATTATATTGGGACCACGTTGGATCTTCAGTGCATACCACACTACCAAGCCATACCTCTCTCTTAGTGATAGCTCAGCTCAATCCACCTGTTTAAGAGGTCAAGGCAAGCATATTGTACCCCAATGCCCCCAACAAAGTGCAAAATCGCCTTTTAGCTCCTCTCGACATACCACAAGAATGGGAGTGCCATTTGGAACGTTTGAGGGCTTACTTTGATACGGTGTGTTACGCGCAGCGGCCTGATGTAGGGGACGCCTTACTAATGGCCCTTGGTGTGGGGGACGCCCTGCCCAAGATACCTAATCCTCAACCCACTGTAACCGTTCTAGGTATTAGGATACGGGAGTAGGAGGGGTGGTCCCGCCTAGGTCCCCGTAAGGACCTAGCTGCCCGGCGAGGCGGAATGTGGCTCAAAGAGGGCAGGAGCCCCACACCCACAACCTTTTTGTATCACGGTGCTTCAAAGATGTTTCAATCAATTTTTGTGAATTCCCAATTTTGACCCCTATTTGTGCATATTGAAATAGAGCTTGGTGCTAGCCACCTGCCACCATCCGTTAATTGTTGTATTGAACTTCCAATTTTTCTGTATTTACTGTTAATCGTGCAATTTTAATGACCTTTCTTCAATTTTCCAAAATTTTTGTTATTTTGCTCCAATTTTACTGTTATTTTGTTCCAATTTTTCTGTTATTTTGGTTCAATTTTTATGTTATTTTTTCCAATTCTTTTCTGTTTTTCTTATGGGCGGCAGTTGCACGTTGCCCATGTAATGTGGGGGACTAGAACCTGGCCTGGAGACTCATGGAACCAGATGCAACATGGCTAATCAGGCAGAGGGCATATGGTGCGTGGGCGGACAGGGCCAATCCAGCCCACGCACCACACCACTATGCCAATGAGTGACAATCACGCGTGGGGGCCGGGGACCCAGCCCTATAAACTCATGGAACTGGGTGCAACAGGGGCAGCGACAGGATCTGGAGAAAGTAGGCACCAACCACTCCTCCCCTGTTCAGCTCTTTCTTTGCTTTGTTCATTGTCGAGTGCCAGGCTCACGCGCACAGTGAGACCTAAATTGCGAACCATGGTTGCGCTTTGGCTGTGGTGGGGTGCTGCGCACCACAACAAATCTGATCAAATCCGTTGTGTTGTTTCCGCATGCGTCATTTAATAATGTACCGGGCTAGGACATGTTCCGGAGTCTATGTATTTAGCTAAATAACTAAATATAACTAAATATACTATAGTATATACTGGACCTCGTTGGTTATGAGACCGTGTCATTGGAGGGCAGAACCTTTGATATACCAAGCACATTCTGGCCCTTGTGCATGTCCAAAGGCACAACACCGGTCAGGCCATGCCTAAGTATTTTACTATATATTGTTAGTAGTACCGACTTAGCAGGCAGTGGTCTAGCTGCCATAGTTCAGTCGGGCAGTGCCATTGATGTGCCATTGTCTGGTCAGGCGGCCGCCATTGATGGCCGGTCCCTGTGCCATTGATGGCCATTGTCGTGGTGGCGAATGCCACATTTTTTAGTAATTGTGGATTTGGCGAGATTGGATACTGTGCACACCGTTGCCACATGGCCTGGTGCCACCAATAACTATTGTTGGCTAGCATTTGCCACAGCCAACTGCTAGTGTCGGGCGATGGACCGTCGATGGTGCTGGATTTCCAACGTTGTTACACTTTCGCGGTTATGGTAATACAGTAGGGGTCCCTATATAGCGCCCCTGTAGTGACTGCACATTGTACTGTACATTGACGGGTAATTAGATGACTTAGATGATTTAGATGAGTTCGTTTGAGTCTAAAAATGTGTTAATCATGATCGCCACATTCATCTTGTTAAATGGGCCAATTTTCGGTATAATGAGGTTATTAAGGCAATTTAGATCATTTAGCCCATTTCTGGCCATTTGGGGCATTATTCCTTGATGGAACCGATGCGATTATGAACATTATAGTCTATTATGATGTGGTGCGCGGTCATGGGCGGATGGGAGCCGCCAGGAAGTGGTGGAGTACACTCCAAGAGATTATGGGGTTGATCCGGCAGTACGGGCACCTGTCAGGTACCCGCATTACACTGGATCACAGGTACAAACGCCCCTACGGCCATGGTACATTGGAGGGACGTGGTATAGCTTGGGGAAGCCGCCTGGCATTACTAAGGGTATGCCAAGGGGCCAAGGGACCATGTGAATGGCTCTCCAAGGGCCGAGGTGGCATTATAGGAGGCCGAGGTTGGCATTACAAGAGTGTATTGGATATTACATGAGGCCGAGGGTGTCATGACGAGAGGGGAGCGCTCCACATATAAAAGTGGGCACCCCATAAGCCATTTGTCTCAGTTTGCCGGTGCACTCGACCTTGTCTAGACCAGGGGGCCCACCACCGTTGTACAATGGTATTATATGTAATACATTGCCGACTGCTGCCAATCTGCCTCGATTTGGTCGCCATTATCCTGGGGGATTCTACAGTGGTTTTGGAGCCGAGCGACCAAAAGCATCAAAGGGGCAATCTACTCATCTCCATGGCGCACCATGATGGTCAACCACTCGTGATGGGAGAGGAGGAAGCTCGCCAGGTGGAGGAGCATTAGTAGAATTTAATGCAGGAGGTCAACCAGACCCGCGAACGGAATCAACAACTGGAGCGGGAGATGGCAATGCTACATGAGGAGAGGCAGGCTGCCGAGTATCGAGGTGACCGTCGATCTCGTGCTCTAGCTCGGGATATGGCCGAGCTGACTGCTGACTTGATTTCTAGTCGTGGAGTGGCACCAATGGGCGTGAAAGTGGAGAAGCCTGAGACCTATGACGGTGCCAAGCATCGTGATATTGATACATGGTTGTTCTAAGTGGAGGAGCACATGTCGTTGACTGGAAGACCTGTCGCCTCTCGTGTTGGATATGCTGCATCGCTGTTGAGGGGTCATGCTGCCATGTGGTGGCGTGAGTTGTGCGAAAGTGGCAATCGAGTGAACGATTGGGACGAGTTCAAGAGGGATCTGCGTCGACAATTCCGAATGGACAATCTGATTCGCCGGGCGAGGGATAAGTTGTATGCCCTCTGGCAAAGGGAGAAGGAGCCTGTGTCAGACTTTCTGCATAAGTTCCGGCAAGTGTGTATTCGGATCGACGATCTCTCGGAGGCGGAAAAGCTGGACAAGTTCCTTCGGGCTTTGAATGTGAATGTCTGAATGCAAGTGGAGTTGAAAGAGCCAACAGCGTTTGAAGAAGCTGGCAAATATGCCGACCGAGCTGACAATGTGCTTACTCGAGTTTCTGGCCAAGGCACGGGTGGAAAGCCAAGTTGGTTCAAGGGCATTTCGACGCATGGTGGATCGAACGTTGGTGGACCGCGGACCTTTCAACCAAAGACGTCTAGAGGACCTGAGCCAATGGAAACTCGGACAAGCTACGTCCAAAGGAAGCCTTTGACTCCAGAA